TCCGGCTATGATCTCAACAATAATTTGTTTAAGTTTGTGATAATGTCATTTTAATGGGAATCAATGATATTTGGTATGCAGTTGTAGCAGCATTGGCACATCTACTTTCCATTGAGATTATTTGTCCATGTCCCCTCAGTCATTGTCTATTGACTTTGAAACTTTTGCATAGTTTACATGTTAAAGATTTTGATAACCGGTAGGTCAGTTTAAAGGGAACCACTTATGATAAGTAAATGATATTTAGTATGCAGTTGTATTATCATTGCCTGTCTCATTTCCAAGGAAATTATTTGGCCCTTTGCTTCAGTCATTGTTCATTGAATTAAAATAATTTGCATAATTTACATGTTAAAGTTATTATTTTAATTTCAACATTTGCATTTTACTATCAAAATCACATACAGGCTGGAGACATATCTCTGTGTCAATAGTGTATTTGTCATGAAGGTTGAAATGTTAAAATTACGTGAATGCTTATAGAAACATATTGTAATGTCAAATAATAAAATTATATGGCCAATGATTGCATTTACCAGAAAAATCATACATTCTGTGCTTCTTGACACTTTAGAGCACTGTTCAGTAAAAGATATTGAAGTAGTATACATTTTCTTGTAGCACCACAAGGCCTCATGGCGGAGTGATCTATGTAGTGATCACTAACCTGTCAACACTGAGGTTATTAGTTCAAACCCCACTTGTGGTTAGCTGCATTCTACTCCTATCTTAATTGACTAGGATTGCCAGTTTGTCTACCAAGGGCAGTGGTTCTCTCCATACTCTCTGGCTTGCTGCAGCAATAAAAACTTGATGCACAATAAAGCCTACAAAATGTAGCACATCAAGAAGCTTACTTTGAACAATCATATCAAAAAGACAGTTAACTTACCGACTTGGTAAAATTTCGTAATTGAAGAATTCTGTCCAAACATCTTGTTATTTTTAAGAAAAACTTCCAATTTTGTAATAATGAAATGACTAATACTTCTTTCACATTCTAATAGAGACCTGAAATGCTGTTAAGAACTTTTGATACCCCTGACCCCCACTAACAAGTTCTTATGTAGACAGTTTTAATTGAGCCAATTCTTTTGACAAGTTTTAAGTGTATCTATTGTACACTTTTGATCTGATTTCTAAACTTAATAGCTGATCTTTGACAAAATATAAGTTTGATTTTAATTTCTAGTAAGAATTTAAAATCATGAAGTTCATTTAGTGGAAGGGCAGATCTCAGAGTTGATAATGAACAGTAGATGTTTATTAAATAATTGCAGCAATCATTTGTGTCCATGTTTTTTTAAATACAGGAGTTTGAAAAAAAACGTCTAAAGGTTATATGTGCATTGTGTCTACATTTGAGTTGCTGTGGATCTTTATTTGGATGTGATTGAGTTCCTACTGTTTAAGAAGACACTATGGAATGAAAAGTTATGATCTTTGAATATTTTCAATTTTTCATTTAAAATCTTCGTCTTGAATATTTTCCAAATGTTTGTCATCATGAGTACCAATATGTGGTTGCTTTATTTCTGTTTATCAGCATCATTTTTCAAGATTAAATCTAAAAAACTTGTTACAATAGTATCCTGCTGTTAAAACTTCTTCTAAGCAATCAGCTAATCTTTTTGAACTTAAAACTCCAGAAAAATCAGGCCAAAACCACTTCAGCATATTCTGACCTAGTAAAAATGAGTTTTATATTACATTTTGTTGCTCAGTTGCTTGTAAAGATTGTAGAGACAATCTGTGTTTTGAAAAAAATATTTGTTGAAGGGGGCAATAAAGTTAATATTTTTGTGAAATTTGTAACTGTCAGCTATAAATGTTTTGAATATTCAGAACTCAACATCTTATGCTCTGAAAAAAGTAACAATAAAAGTGTTCTTTCATTAAATATCGTTGTTGTGAATGGAGAGATATATGGCAAAAAACACACCAAATATTAGTAGTGCAAAAGACACCAAAAAGATTGGGATTTTATTCGAAAATAAAATTAAGAAATGTTATTGGTAGCATACATTATTTGTGCTATTTGGGGCAAATTATAACCTCATTGGGAAAATGTAAATAGGTGCTTATGAGAAAGTAACCACTCTATAGGCAGTTAAATTAAGCTATATAAGAATTGAACATGTAAAAATCTATCCATCTAAACTAAGATGACATGATTATATTGGAAGGAGAACCCTGGGGATGCATTTATCATGCTGCTTTAAACATCCATAAAATCAAGTAGGATTAAGGCTCTTTTCATCTAACCAATAAACCATTATGTTAGGAACATATTCACCCCATTTATTTAAAGTAAGGAGTCAGTATTGACAGGTATAACTTGTTACCAAATTCTTTCAGTTCTATTATATATCTTACAACTTTGAAATGTACCCCTCTCAAAATAAAATTAACTGTTTAAATATTGAGATAATGACTTAATTTGTAATGCTTATAAGTTGAAGGTAAAGTATAGACATCAAAATATCCCTAGTTGAGAATATAACCCTTATGTAGAAAATGATATGTATGGATTGTAAAAATATTTCTTTGTCGTTTTAAACTTTTCATTTAGCTCCAATGTCAATCTTCAGGGAGGACATTTAAATTTGGATAAGTGATAAGATCTGCAAATTAATCTCAGAACTGAACTTTTCTCTTTGGATGTATAGAAGACGTCAGCCTTCAAATGGTTTTAATTTTGGTAATAGAATGTAACGTATGACTTCTTTATTTTTATTTCCACACTGCATACTTAGCCCTGCCTGCACAGATCAGGGATATTTATCTATTCATATCTTTTAGGTTAATGAGTGAATTGAATTACAGCGTAATTTAAAAATATCACAGTTTGTTGTGAGTTATGTTGAGATGTGGGTAATATGACTCAATGAGTGAACAATCCAACAACCCAGAAATCCAACAACACAAAAATCCAAATGACATCTAGAGGTCAACATACAATTTTAGTCTCATTATTAAAATTCAACAATAGACAAGTGGTTATTAAAAAAGTCAAGATCTAAATCACCTCCAATCGTAAATTTTAACTGGCATCTACTGTAATACATTGTCAGCAAACATGAAAAGGTTGATGCTTTAAAAGGTCATTTAAATAGAAAATAACTATTTTTTGTTGAAAATTGTAAAACGGTTGGAAATAAATTATGTCCTCAGTCTTAAGTGAAATAAAAAGAAAAAAAACAAGAGAAAAATGAACATCTGTTTGTCTCAAGAACCCCTTTATATCTCACCTTGCACTATAACTAATGAAACACGTGAGATATTGCCATCATTTGACGTCTGTTTGTCTCTGTCCATCCATATAAGCAAATATTTTTAATTTATTTTTATTTGTACGGGTTCAATGTCTCCTTTATTTTTCCATGCCCATTTATATAAATTTTATTGTTGATCAGTAAATTTAATAGTATAGTTTTATATGCCATTTATTTTAAATATGTTTGTTTTAGGATCTCATAACATGGGCTTTCATATTTTATTGTTAATGCTTATATATGTGTGTGAATATGTTGTAAAGCGCTTAGGGTAATTTTTTGATATTATATAATGCGCTGTTAAAAATACTGTATAATAATAATAATAATAAATCTTTTTTTATGACCCTACCTGTAGGTTGAAGGGGGCTTTAAGATTTACCCATGTCCATCCGTATGTCCCGAAATTGGTTTACATTTTCTAACTTTAGTTTGCCTAAACTAAATATCATGAAACTTATGCAAATGCTTATTACCACAAAACACAGATCAAGTTCGAATTTGTGTGGTGTCACTTTCACCATTCTTGAGTTATGTTCCTTAAGCAATGGAAAAATTGGTGAATTTGCCGTTTCTGCACTTAAACTTTAATTTGCCTTAACCACATGTTATGAAACTTATGCACAATGTTCATTACCAACATTGTTATTGAACATTGAGAGCACTCAAACTCCAGAGAAATCTCTAATGTCAAAATATTGAAAAAAATTTCATTAAGTTTCAAAGAAAACAAAGCGTCAATAGGTTTGAATTAGTACATTGACTCTTGCATATTTACAAGCAGGGGTATCTGTGTCCAATGGGAACATCATCTTTAATTTTATTATTTTCCTCGGAAATCACTGGACCAATTTCAATCAAACGTAAACTGAAGGATCCTTAGAGTTTATAGTATAAAGTTTGTGTTGATATTCCTGCAATCAACCAACAATGGCTGCCAAGGCTTAAAATAGAACATAATGGTAAGATGCATTAATTGTTTAATATCTTTAAACCATAATAGATAGAGAAAATGCTCAGGATGTCAAGACCTACTTTCTATTTCATTATGTACCATCAGAATTATCAGATGAATCCTAGTAGAAGTTTTACTGTGTTACAAATCTTTGTGTTTTGCCTAATATACTGAAATAGATAGTTAGAAACTGTATACAGCGAATAATTATCACCAGTACAAGACTATAACAAATTCTTTGATGACCAAAAGCATTGGATGAATTTTATTGTCCTTACATAACAACTTTTGACTAGTAAATATACATAATGTTAACTTGTTACTAGTATATATTTTGCAATCAGTATTTACAATAATAATCAATGAGTTTTGTTTTGGTTGACTTACTTTTGAGACAGTTATTGCCCTTGGATTTTAAATATCCTGAAAATGCCACATTATATTGTTCATCATCAAATCCCACACTTACAGATATTCAGATGATATTTAGTAATTAGTGTTATAAGGGAAAGTTACAGATTACATATAAATTTTATATCAGTTGACACATTTCTTACCTACCTACAGCTATAAGACTTTGGACATTTGATGAACATTATTGTGCAAATGGGACACGTTGCCTATGGACACAACTAGTTGTGTAAGCTTTCATTTATATAGCAATATCCAGAGGAAGGCCACTAAGGACAGTGATTGGATTGACCAGAATCTTAAAAAAAGCATAAATTTGGTCTTGGTGTTGTGTTATATTGTTTATATTTTTTTTTCAGGAGACACGTTAGGACTTTTATTAAATATTGATGAGAAATACCTGACATTTTCCTTAAATGGTGAATGTTTACCGAGTTATGATGACCTTTTCCAGTATTCAAGGTATGGTTGACTTTTTGACTAGGGAAAGGGAGGTTTATTCTGAGCAATATTGAAAATTTAAGCTGAGTTAAATTTGAAAAAGAGGCTAAAATTACCAAAGGGTGAATTAAAATTCATAGGTCAAAAGAGAGACTGACAAAATCATGGCAAAAAAAAAAACCCAAAAAAACAACAATAAGTTAAACAACAGTCTACATAACACTACATAAACAAGTAAAGTTTGTGCAACACAACACAAACCACACCAAAAACCAGTGTGATCTCAGGTGCTTTGGAAGGAAAACCAGATCTTGGATATCTTTTATAAGTTGATACATTTAAAAGTACAGAATCTTGTTACTTTGATGTCAGTCAGCCATCTTATATGGACTGAGTTTTACATAAGAATCTTTTAAAAATATTCTTTTGAGTTCTGCTGAACCAATTAAAAAAAAAGACTTGACAGAGTTGGTCAGTATGGAGAGCATGCAGAGTGTTTAGGTGCTAATTAGTTTGTTAATTTCCACAATAATAAATACATTTTTTTGTAAATTTATTTTGAAAAAAATATTATATTAATGAAATTTAACTATCAGTGTTAAAAACTGCACAAGTTTACACAAACTAAACTAACCAGCCATATTTTATACTTAGTAAATGATAACCAAGATATGAGATGAGCATTTCATTGTTCCATGTGCCTCAGTTTTAATTTTTATGTGTAACTTACAAAATTGCTTTATATATTACATTATGATTGTTTATTTCAGTGGTGGATATTTTGCTGCTGCCAGTTTTATGTCTTACCAACAGTGTGAATTTAACTTTGGTGCCAAGCCATTTAAGTATCCTCCTAAAGGAACATTATTCAAAACATTTAATGATTATGGAACCATGACAGATGAAGAAAAGAAAATTTTACCAAGGTGCAGTATTGTCGAAGACTAACATGGACATTTTTTAAATTTTCAGTTTTTGAACATGTTTAGCACAAGATTATCAAAACAGTATACATAATATTGAGAAATGTAGATCCCAAGCAATGACTTTTCAAGGTTGAAAACTAAGAGCATGACCTTGAAGGGAATACTTTATCACCTCAAGGTATAGAACCACTAATTTGGGCCTGGTCAGAAAGAACATACAAGAAAGAAGTACATATTTTAAACAAAATAGTTCCTACGAATAGCTGTAACTTTGTCAATAAGTAAAATATTTGGGTAATTTGATATCAAATGAAGGCTTAAGAACTTGGGATCACTGTAGGACCCTTATTGAAAGTTTATTTCGAATAATAAAAAATATATATGATATTATAATAGGAGGGCACATTTGCCCTGTTGTTCAGATTGGAAATACCTGTTTTTGTACTATCAAACTTCTGGGAACCAGTGCGCTCTACTATGCAATTAAAGGTATGTTAAATTTTTCAGCACAAGTCAGGATAAGGTATAGTTTTGACATGAAATAACTGCCACTAAATTTGTACTTAAGACAAAGTAGCCATTAATGCTTGAAATTGCAGAATTTAACATAGAAAGCAATGGGGCTATGAATGATTGGTTTTATTCCTCCACATAAGACAGAGTAGGGCATAACATTATTGTTCTAGCCATATAGACTGTCACTTCAGAATAATTTTCACCTTGAATTAAAACACACTAATTTTGAGTATGCCCCCCATTGAAAAAAATAAAACAATTTCATGTAATATTTAGTGTTTCAATAAAAAAAATTTAAAAAGCTACAAACCAAATATGATTGCTTTGCTTTGCAAACATATAGCTAGAATTTATTTATCTGATGTCTTATGTGTATCTACCCAACTACACATGTACTTATCTTTTCCAGTTTTATTAACAGAAAAACTTACCAGGTCTTCAACAACCATATGAGTAGAATTCTTTGATAATTGTCATTATAAGAAATATGCATTCAAAAATAACGTATGAGAAAGTAAACACATTTGGTGTGAAAACTATCATCTGTTGTCCAACAAAAAAAGCAGAGGTACATTGTGTTACAAGTATTTGAAAAAGCACAAAAGATTGTAGTAATAAGTGAATGAGTTCTGTCGACTAAAAACAAACTAACACATTGAATACTTTGATTTTTTACATGTTTGTTATCATTATCTAAATACATTTATAATCATCTCTACTATTCTTTCTCTTTTCAGACACATGCGATTGAACTTGATAAAAAACTTTCAAGTTAATGAAGATTCTTGTACAATCTGCTTTGCCGAAAAAGCTTCACACAAGTTGGTTCCCTGTGAACATGGGTATGTACCATCATTTTTCAGCCCAATAGCTGTAAATTTCAGTCGTCCTGAATATGCATGAAATACTTGCTCCTGGAAGTTAAGCAAGCAACAATCAATGAATCAATCAGTAAATTCAGATTGATTGATTGGTGATTGCTTTATGACGCATCAAGTAAATTCAGAAATCATTGCATTTAACTCATCTGACTGGAATAATCTTCAGTGTGTTTCTGACTGAATTCTCATTTTGTGACTCTGTCAAACAATTGACAAGGTCTCCATTACTATAGTCACCCCAATCTACCTAAGTTGTGAATGCATTCATCATATTGTTTTGCCTCTACAAAGTAAAAAAAGCAAGAGTTAGGCTTGCTGTTTCCAGCAAGGGTGTTGTCAATGTTAACAATGTATTTGTTTGTGAGTAGGTCAGTTGAAGGGAAAACAATAGTGGTAGGTCGATGATTTGCAGTTATTTAAGCATATGTACGTCTCATTTCCATTTCATATTATATAGCTCCGTCCCCTCATCATGGTTTATTGACTTTGAAACTTTTGCATAGTTAACATGTTAAAGTTTGTGTTAAGGTCAGTTTAAAGAAAACCACTTATTATAAATCAATGGTATTTGGTATGTAGTTGTATTAGCATTGGCATTTCTCATTTCAATGGAGGTTATTTTGCCTTGCTCCTACAGCCATGGTTCATTGACTGAATGTTTTGCATAGTTTTACCAATTTTAGGTGTTAAAGTATAGCCATTTTAATTTCAACATTTGCATCATACTATCAAAATTACATTTAGGCATGGCATATCTCTGTGTCAACAATTTAAACACCCTAGATCAATAATCCACACTGAATTCCTAAATGGCTAATAACAATGTTTAGCCTTCAAATAAGTAATTACTGAGACTTGAACTGGCCCAGGTAAACCTCTAGTTTGTTGGGAATTTTTGGTTATAATGTAAACAGTAAGATTGATATAGTTTTATTTTTCTACATTTCACTCATAAATATAGATATAACAATAACTTCTGAATCATAACAGAACCGTTTGCAATGTATTTTGACAGTGTTTTGTATAGAATTTGATTACAGTTATGTCCCTTGAATTACAGTGTCTAGCAATCATTCTTTTAAATGATAGAGATTATCTGTCTATAATTGCAGGTTAGAATTTAAGAAAGCAGATTTTTCAATTTTAGCTCTTTAGAAGCTATATATTTACTGTAAAACCAACTAATTTTCGTGAGCAATAAATTTTCCGTGACTTTCACGAGTAGAAAAATAACATGAATATGTAAAACTTGGTTCTTCCCTTATATAATTACAACTAGAAAATGGTGAAAAAAATGGCTCCAAAATTGGCTACATACTTAAATACTTGAAAAGTTATATGTCAGACCAAAAGACACCTAAAAAGCATAGCTAAATCCTTTTAAGGTCACCCTTGCCTGAGGGAGATGGAATGTTTGTTTCTTAATACATTTTTAAATTGCCAGAGGTTTTTTTTAAATTGTTAGTCTTAAAATCAAAATTGCTTTGACATAATTTGAAATGAATATTTTAATTTCCTGGATATAGCTGTTTGAATTTAAAGGGGCATTAGCTGTCAAATTCATCTTCTCCGATTTGACTCAAATTCTCATATTTGATTTATAACATACTAAAACATATATAAGAATTACAAAAATTCTAAAATAAACAATTAACAATGCATGGACTCGATAATATGTATCAACATTTCGTGTGTATTTTTGTCTAAAAGTCATCTGATTAACCATTAAGATGACCTCTGAAGACTGCCGATGGTCATATAACCTGTTATAAACATAAATATAAACATAAACTAATAGCGACCACGTGCAATTGAATTTTTCTAAGTCTGTTTGATTTCATATTGTAGGTTAAAAAGTATGTTTATCATCGTTTTTACCTGTGTTAGAATGATTTTTTGTGGATCGATCCAGTCAACCAAATGATTCATCCTGGTTTCACTTTCTATGTTGACATTCTTTTCCTTTTAATAGCTGAATACATGCATAACCCATCTCCAGCTAAGGGGTTAAATTAAAGGTCACATGAATACGGATTCAAAGAGGTCAAATTATTCACTTGCAAGTGAATAATTCATCAGTGATGTTCCTTATCTTATTTTGACAAAATTGAACAAAATTGGTTGCTTAAAGCAAATTACTATTTCATTTTATCACTTTCATTAATGATTGAATAAAAAAAAATATATTTTATTTTTTTGTATATCTTGTAGCTAATGCCCGTTTAACAAAAATACATCAATATTGGAAAAAAGCTCACTCTTGCCCCAATTTGAATAAAATTGACTATTTTCATGAAAAATGGCTTTCATTTGAATGGTTATGCTGTTAAACTGTTTTTGTTTGTGTTTTGTAGAGGATTTTGCTTCAAATGTTCATTACAATTGGAAACCTGCCCAATGTGTAGAACACAGATACATGAAAGAGTGCTTTCAGAAAGCAGCAGATCAAGGACAGTATCAGATAGTGCCGAAGACCCATCAACAGTCAAGGACACATAACTGTTATTATGTACAGTGCAGCTATAGCTTTAAATATTTGTTGAGTTAGCCTTGAGCACATGGTTTTAAAACTATACACTATAGAATTGTAATGGCCATAAACATTGTATGTTACCTTTGAATGATTTAACGTCACTTTCCTATCAATCATAAGTCATTAAACTTGCATGCCTGCCAACTCTTTAAAATCTCCAAATGCATCTCTTATTCATGTCATAAGTTTTTTAATCTAATATTCTATGGTAATGAATGAGTATATATATGCTTAAATGTATTCATGTCATAATTGTTTTTAATCTAATATTCTATGGTAACGAATGAGTATATATGTGCTTAAATGTATTTTTAAGTACTTTCAATGTTGTTTTTTTTAGTTTATATACTTCAAGTGTGAAGTGTATGATCAACACCTCTTTTAGAGGAAATTCCACACGAATGGGGAAAGATGATAGGTCTGTTGAAGAAATAAACACTTGCCCTTTGGTTAGTGAAGATGGCTAGAGCAAATGTTGTAAAGGATTAAAAATAGATGTTATTTATTTTTCCTTAACATTTGCTATCCCTAAAATTTGAACAAGAATATTTATGGATTTGCAAAAAATGGCTTTTGGATTTTGTGGAAACATTGAGAATAACATCAGTTAATCAGTAGTGTGCTTTTACCTACTCTAGTCCTCCACTGTTATAAATGATTAAACTAATGTAATTAAATTACAAATCAGCTGCATAGGAGAAATTTTGATTATAAAATCTCAATTCTATAGAAAGTATTGATGAAAACCATGTAAGGGGAGATAAGTCTGTAATTCACTGTTTCAAATCTGGGTAATACTTTAAAAAGCATACACCAAAGCATTGTCAATGGTTAACAATGTTTGAAACGTTGGTTATTCAACAAAAAAGTGTAACCTCAATGACTATTTTTACCTTGGTGTACAAAAAATGAAATTACCCACAATCCCAAGTGGTAATGAATTAAATCATGGATTTATTATACCGTGTTTGAATATGAAAATTTGAATACATTTATAAGTAATTGATTGAAAGTTATGAATGTTAACATCGTGTGCTTATCTTATTTTCTATATTAGAATTTCATTTTTGTATAGTGTTTGTCTTAAATCAAGTTTTCAATTTTTGGTTGTTGGGAAGATATTTAAAATCATTTATTATATTTTGAAAAATATCAACAATAAAATGTACTGGTCAAACTATAGTGTATAGTTTTAAAGTCTTGCATTGAAGCAAAAGACTGTGATTTTTTTTTATCTTGATATTGTAATGCATATTTGAATTTACTTTTTTTCATAAATTAATGTCTTTATGGTTATTAAAACAAATTATAATTTCCAAAATAAATTTTTAACAGGTGCTTTTTTTTTTGCCTGACTAATTTACAGTATTGACAACAAATTATACAATCAGTAAAATAAATAAATATTTAGATCTTGTGTCTAGTGTAGCATTTAAATCAGTTGAAAGAAATTTGTAATATTAGAATGCTGTGGATTCATTTATTTTTTCATGGGTACAAATTATCATGGATTCAAGAAAAATTGTTTTTTTGTGGATATTTGATTTTTTGGTTTTACAAAAGTCTGCAAACAAGCCTATAGAAATTTTTTATCCTTGACCATTCAAATTCCTGGTTGACCTGTACCCGCGAAATCCACGATAATTGGTATCCCACGAATAATAATAAACAGTAATAATTTTTTTAGAAGTTTTGTAAAGAGAATAAATGAAGTTTGAATTCAAAATTTTCTATCAAAATGTTGACTGAATGATGATTTCTACTTCTTTCCCATTTTATGTGCTCCCTTTATGAACAGGGTTTTTAATCTTCTGTTCTTCAAAAGACGGAGGAATTCAAACATAGTGTCTAATTTCCTACAACATTTATATTATTGACACCTAATATTAAGTTATCTGGGGTAATCTGCATAAGATAGACAGAACATTGTTATTTTTTGTATATATTTCTTGCTTGAGCATTTGTGCATACCAGTTTCATGTAGTAGGATAAAGCCTGAATCCTTCATTTATGCTTCACTGAATTTGGAATTGTTACCAAGTACATTGTTTAAAAATTTTGACCTTTCTGATGAAGTACTAATAGTAACCTAAGTGCTGTTGTTAACTGTTCTATAAATAGGCATGAAAAACTTACATACACGTTCAAGTGCTAACACATGAATTTTTTTTAATTTCTGGATAAATAGTAATCTTTTTTAAGGTTGAAATGTTATTACAATAAAGTAGCTGTGATAAAGATATTGAATACGACCATGAATCTTGTATAGATGTAACTATAATTCCAGTTTTATCACAATCATGTTTAAATTATATACATATTATTGAGTGTTTTGTACAAAATTTCATTAATATTTATATCTCTGTAAATTGTATATCTGAATCAAATGTATTTCTTGTGGCAAAAGGTCACTTCAATTCTATAAACAATCATGAGGTTTTAAAGCATTGCTATTTGTTTTAAAGTGGTTGTTTTCTTAATGAGTAATGATTATAAGTATTTGTATGTTACTAGGAACTTAAAGCTGTCTTTAATTTTTGGGATATTTTTTTCGTACTTGAAATAGAAAGGAAACAACAAGTTTTAACTAATTTTCTTGCAACAAGTCAGATAATTTATTTAACTTATGGCTATTAGAAAATGGCTGAAATATTGCTCAGATGAAAGAGCTTGCTTCAGTTGACTTAGCCTCCTATACTTTACCTACACATCAGCAATTTTGATTTTAGCATCATCAGATATTTTTTTTAAACAGCTCCTCATGAAATTTAGATAAAATTGATCAATTGCAACATTAAGGTAATTTTCAAAGTGCGTATAGAAATTTGTCTTAATCTTTAAAGCATTGGCACTTTAGTACTTTTAATTCAAAAAATTAATGAATGCATTTATTATACCTGACGCATGGAAGTTGTGTAGGGTATAATGTTTTTGACCCGTCCGTCTGTCTGTCAGTCCTGTTCTTGTCATTGCAACTCCTCTATAACCACACAACAGAATTTCATGAAACTTTGTAAATAACAAGGACATACTATGCAAATTTGCGTAGATAATAAGGACTTGCTATGTAGATGTGCTAATCGACAGGAAATTATGATTCAATTTTTTTTCTAGGAAATATTCCCCTTTGAACTTAGAATTTTTGCCTCAATATACTACCACAACAGTTTGTCATCGCAACTCCTCTGAAACAACATAACAGAGTTTCATGAAACTTTGACCGAAAACGGTCATATTTGCCAGTCATGTCCTAAGATGAAACTATTTGTCCTAAACAAGTAATTGGGATTTAGGACAAATTTTATTTTTTTACAGAAGTAATTTCGGTCATTTCATTGACTCAATGTTTGAAATCAGATTTCTTAATCGCAATTTTGCACTTGTGATCACTTGTTTTTGTTTATAATCCCTTTCCTTTAATAAAACTGCCACTACAGTAGTTTGATAATCCTGAGGGCCCTCCTAATATCTATATCAATGCTTCCGGGAAACATTGGCTAATGATCGCTAATCACTTTTTACCTGTGGTTTTAATTCACACCTGACAGTGATCACAAGCTCAGAATAATATCTTTAAAACATTAAAATTCCCTGACAACTGTATTCATTATTTATTTACTTTTCATCAAAGACAGTCATCAATTCTGATTTAAAAATTAAATCTAAATTTACGTAGAAAAAAGTATTTTTTCATGAGTAACACATGTGCTTTATTTATCATGTAATACGCATGCGTGAAATTGTCTTCAGCAAATTTAATATTTAATCGTAAAATGCAAATTGATTTCATGCTAAATTAAACGAGTGCAACTATTATCTGTTATATTCAAACACTTTTAAAGGTAATAAAATAAAAAAGCCGGTGATTTCCTGTCAATTTGATAAACAAAACAAATCCCGGAAATAAATCCGGAATTATTCTTACTTTAAAATATCGCAAACTTCCGGTTTTAACTTTTGTCAAATCGAAAGAAACGTAAGCAATGTCTGAGAAATTAACCATTTTGAGTCATTAAAATCATTTCAATTTTAGACTGTTGCCTTCCCTAAACTGTCCTTCATGGTAATGGTAAGACATTTACTTAGTAAATGCGATAAAACAGCAATACAAGTTCGTCATGTTCGTTGATCCTATGAATATAGTCAAGTTGATATCGACAATTTGAAAAGGGGCACCAACTTTTCAAACATCTCAAAATGACCGAAATTGTCTGGAAAAATTTCCGGATCCTTGATAAGGACATACTATGAAGATGTGCATATTGACAGGAAATTAGGATTCACTTTTTCTTCTAGGAGTTATGCCCCTTTAAATTTAGAAATTTGGCCATGATATACTACTGCAGCTCTTTGTGAGTTCAACTCCTCTGAAACAACACAACAGAATTTCATGAAAGTTTGTAGTTAATAAGGAAATAATATGTTGATGTGGATATCCACAAGAAATTTTCATCAGTTGACTTTTGTAGGAGTTTAGAGTCTCTGAACTTAGAGATCTGGTGAGATTTTGTTTGCCCAGTGACAATGTTGGGGTGTGGGGTATGTGAGCATGCTCACAAAGGTTCTTTAATTATTGCAAATCCTTGACCACTAGCAAAAACGTGTAATCTAATTAAAGTGATTGCAAAAAAATTATGAAGAAAATCGCTTTTGAAATAAGGAATGATACTGTCACATTTTTTGCATGAAAAAAAACCATTGCAATTATTTCTGAATTAACAGCATTAATTTCAATGATAGTTTTTTGTATTGATTAACTTATACATATGCTCACAATGCAGTGTTATAGGGTAGATTGCACAATTTAACTCCACAAAATGTGAATTCAACACTATTTATACTTTTTGTAAATTTATTGGGTTTTTTAGGAAGGTGAGGATTATTGAATGATTTGATCAAATATGATTATTAAACCAAAGAATAATGAAAATCATTAGTTATCATTGTATTTTAGAATAATTAGAAATTTTATTTACATATCACTGTGAACTTAATTATCAGTTTTCATTGTTTCTAATTTTCTAAGCTAATCAACAATTTACATAGCTCTAATATTATATGTTTTACAAGATGGAATTAATGTCCAATGACGAGTCACTGTGGGTTGCTTTATTGAAAGATTTTCACTTTAGATTAATAAGATATCATTTAACAGAAAGTTACTTCAGCATAAAAAAAAAACAAATTTTGGTAAAGGAATATATGGTGGATGTCTGACAACATGTACTTAATAACTTAAATGGACAATTTGAGAAAATTGCTATAAGGTGGATGCCGGTCAGACAACATAAACAGGGTATATGAAAGAAATATTTAGGAAAAGCGATATCAGATTTGTGTTGGTCAAATGACAATTCCTGGGAAATATCATCATAGATCAAAGATTGCCGTTACATATATTAGGTGCAATCAATCCTGTAGAAAAAGAAAATGGCCTTTTGATAATGGCATAACATTGCTAGTTTTTTTTAAACAATTACCTGAAAAATCTAGTTTAAACTTTGACAATTTTCACTCTTGTGAAATTCATAAGAATTGAAGTTATATATGATTTTTGTATGAACATTTCTGCATTCAATTCTTGTGATTTTACCTTTTCAAGATATTATGCAATCATGCCAAATGATGTATGTACAATGGGAGCTGATGTGCTTTAACATTCTTTGAAGAACATTTGTTTTAACAGAAATTGTGTATTAATTTTTGTCTATCATACAGCAGTGGGGATCTTGGAAGGTTCCAATTTGAATTTTTTTTTTAGACTGGACTTATTTTCCAAATATATATAAAAATATGGTTTTGATTTATAAAGTGAACAATCTCATATGAAATTTACATGTTATTTTCACATAAAGGCAATGTTCTCCACAGTTTCAAAAGGTGGTTTGACAGTTGAAATGGTATTTTAGCCTTTAAGTTGAAAACACCTCTAAATAAGGTATGCGGAAAGGCATTTTGGACTACAAGAGCATTTATTATATACACAATATTTACTATAAGATATAATAGGCTTAAAATTGGCTTTTAACATGAGAAATACAAACCAAGCCAGCAATTTTGAACAAAATTTACCAGAAAAAGGCATTATCAATTGGGAGAAGAATAAGGGGCAGGATGGATTTGCTAAAAATGGGCATGGATATTTTTTTGCCATGAAAAACATGCTTTACTTGAACACCTGGTATATTTTATGATTTTTTAAAACTGTTTTAGGATGTTTGCTTCAGAGATTAATCATAACATTTTCATAAATGAAATCCTTTGTAGTAGTGCTGAATAGTATCTTATTGATATATAAATATTGGTATGTTTGATTGCTTTTTGAGATACCATTAGAATTTTAAAGCCATTTAGAAGAAAATTTTACTTTGATCAAATGCAGGAAATTGATGTTTCTAGAATTTTTATATGAAATGAATGAGAAAAATTAGAAGAAATTCATTACCACAGTCAATCAGTTACTTGAACGAAAAATAAACCATATCAGCATTTTTATCAGGACGATGGAAACAAACTAAAAGAGGAATAAAAAAGATGATTGGAATATATATTATATATCATTTTTTTGTGGATAAAAATATATCATTTCTGACCTTTGTATGTTTAATTTTGAGGTTCAGTGATGTAAATAATATTTTGCTTAATATCTTAACTTCTTAAAGAACAAATAACATTCCCAAGTATACATGCTTACTGTTATTTTAAGCATAGGGTAAAAAATTTAAATGAGGATCACTGAAAAAAATAATTTATTGTCTGATTTGATGAAGTATGGAGAGTAATTTGTAGCTGTAACGATAATCATGATACCTTAATGATCATAAGTGTATTTTCAGACTATTTTGCTCAGCTTATAATCTTTGGACAACTCTTATTATAGCTTTTGCAGCTCTAAAAGATAACTTGAATGTATCAAGTTTTACTACATGAAAAATAAACAGAATACCAGTTTTTCATCATAGATATCATAAAAATATAATGTAAAACTTGATCTTCACATGCAATGATACTACCCAAAATGCTTTTAAAAGGGTCTAATAAAACTAAAAGGGAATAAAAGTATAATAAGAGTACAATGTACTACGAGAAGATTTTTTTTAAATAACCAATCTTTAAGTAGAATATAATTTTTTTTAATGAAGATTCATTCAAATAAAGGGAGATAACACTGCCTTATATTTATATAAAACAATCAAAGAAATTGTCTTGGTTAAAGAAAATCATGATCAAATATCACCTGCTGTTGTAATAAATTTCTTGTTTTCAAAGCACATGACAAAAGGTATTAAACTTAACAACAAAATATTAGCTAGTTTTTGTTTTGCTTAAAAGTCAATAATGCATTTTAGTATATTTGAATGCAGTATTTTGTTATTATATTGTTATAAGATTTGTTATTTATATCTGTCTCTTTTTAATAAAATTGTAAAGCCTGTATTTCTTTGTTTACCACGCAAAAGTCTATACTTATTTGTTTACTAGTTGAAAGTCTGTATTTCTTTGTTTACTGGTAATGATAATGTCATTTGATATCTAGGGTCAAGGTCAGACAGCTTCCTTAACCATCTTATGGATGAGATCAGCTGTTATTCAATTTAAGTTAATATATATGTAAAACATTTATCACTTTATATTTCATGTTTAAAACTAAAGAAAACAGACGACTATGTCAGGGCTGCCAAAAAAAAAGCCTGCCATGAACTTAAAATGAGGTACAATCATTTGCTCTGAGTTGAGAACCTCATTTTGACTTTGAAATGAAGAACAGCAATAAAAGAGCTGTTTCTTTGACTCATGTTTTGTCTTGAGGGTGTAGGGATGTTGTGTTAGGATTATTACACCATATTTCTTCTTTGCCAACATGATACAAAAAGTTGAATTGATAGATTGAATGCATATGCCAATCCCCATTGTCATTTTTGTAGCAGAAGCCAAACTGAGGCATGCTGTTTCCAGTGTTGACGGCATGATAAATTTGTAATAAGGTTAAAAAGGTGACTCTCTGCATATTAACACAAATCATTGGATGTCATTAAACATTATTCTTTAGTATTGTAAATTTTAAAAATTGATACAAGATTAATATGTGAGTTGGCCATCTAACACTGAAATACCAGAATCATTTCTGGAATCAGTATACTGTAAATTCAGAAATTATTGCGAGGTTTTTATTAATGCAAATAATTCGACTGGATGAGTATTGCAATAAAAAGA